AATAATGAAAAATATCAAACCAGCGAAACTAGCAGCTTTCCAGCACCAAAAACTAGATTATTGGAAACCGTCAAACCAAAGGTTTATCTGTGTGCAGACTTGAAAGAGAAATATTATCATTTTTATTTTTATTGCCAATCACACTTCCAGATACTCAATAAACCGTCAATCACATCGGTTTGACATTCTTCAATTTTATAAACGTGCTGACGTCGCCAATGTATTGGATAAGAATCTTTGAAGTTGTGTCCCCAGGCAAGTCTTACATTTTCAGATTAAGTACACGTACCGCAGTACCCCAGTTAAGTACATTTAACACGTTTTTCTTGATCTAACTTATTACATGGCGCTGTGTGCATGGTAGAATAATTTATGAAAGTTGTTAGTAGATAGATAGAAAGATAGGTAACATGCTTTATTTACACTAAAGAGAAGCATTACATAATATACGATATTTAAAGCATTTTACAGCATGGATGGTTATCCGTCTGCCGGAAATTGGCTGTTCTTTTTCAGGCGGGCAAAATATAAAAACGAAAAATAAACTATATAATAATAGTAATAATAGAAAACTATAAATAAAAACTAAATTATAAAAACTAGCGGATTTTAGGTACAATAAGTAAAACAATTATAACTCGGTATTGTATTCGTACCTATATTGCCAGGCATGACGTGCATAGTGTGCTAGACCTTTCGACTTCTCAATATCCACGATATTTAGCAGATGAAGCAACTGAGACCTGGAAAGCGATTTACACCCTAGATACAGGATACGGAGCTCTGACAGGGGCACTGGGCAACAATATGAAAGATATCTTCCTTAACTCTTAGGTTACAGCGCACAATTTCCGTCGTCTTCCTTTTTTGGCACATCTGAGTTTAAGTAGCCATAGAAGAGTCGGAAGTTTTATAGAACAACTAGCTTGAACGTTTAGGTTTAAAGTTGCCTTAGAATGGTCTAGGGCCTTAAAAAGAAGATAAGCTCGATGCTCGCAACTCTCACGATGTTGATCACATAGCCTGCACAAAGGTTCCACGGTATAATTGGTCCAACTCAAGAGGTTTTCTAAACAAAAAGAAAAACTGCAACCATATTGAAAAGCTAATGTATTCCATTGCCGAAACCAAGAACCGTTAGATTTAATAACCTCGAGAGCAGTAATTTTGGGGATTCGGGCAACAGGGGGAAAGTTGTTAGTAGCGTAACAATGTACGACAATTACGTATTTAGTTCCTAATCAGCAAAGTTACGAGCCTTTTAAAATTTGTCATTATTGTATTAACGAAAAATTAAACAATTTCAATCCAGTGATAAAAGAAATCTACATGTTTTTGGTGTTTCGACGACGAAATTATACGTTCTGCGATTGCTTTCCATACACCCGAGGCGGAGTCGTTGAGGGGTGACTAAAAATAAACTTTTGCAAATAGGGTGATCCAATTGGCAATGGCAATCCCTAAAAGCGAAATAGTGGAGAAAGTTAGCCCGGACTGTCGGATCAACAAGTGGTCCGCACTCAAGAGTTATTGAGTTATCTCTCTTTTCTTTCGCTGTCCCTCCCCGCTGGGAGAATCCTTAATGCACAACTTCCTCTTATACGTGACCCGATTTTTAAATAGGCCGGTTTTTTTTCCTACCGTACAAACTTCACGTCGTAACTTTATTTTTCGTCTTTTATGCAAAGCCCGGGCGAAATGGACTTGGGGTACCGCAGGTGTTCCAGCTCTAATTATAAACACGGTCATGGGACCCTCAGATATTTCTTTCAGATTTTCCCCGTTTAAAATTCCTGGTTTTAATGTGCTATAAAATCCAGTTAGTTTAGTTTAAACAAACAAAAAAAAAGAACTTTTAAGTCATACTTAGTAAACTAAGATGTATATTCCAATTATATGGTCAATTAGACCACTAAACATAAATGGATTAATATATACTAAGACATATAGTCATATTTTATTACCAATCCCATGAAATAAACAGCAGCTGAGTGATCTAAACTTAAAAGAAATCTGCTCTTTCCGATAATTTTCATATGTCAATCGACGAACTTAATTTTAGTCTGAAACGACGGATTTCTGGGTACGGTGGGTATACACGCACGTCTCCCTGCTTATAACCTTAAACACGAACACTCTGGAACAAGGTTTCGTCTTGAAGAAGAAAGTAAATTCAGTTGTTACTGCCAAGCTTTCGACCTATTTTAAGGTCATCGTCAAGGTTTATATTTCACATTATAAAAAACTCACTAGTTTTCGTGGTCTCTTGACCAATTAATATCTTTCAATTAATTAAGGTTTTTAGTTGAGATTAAAAAAGTCAGTGTCACGAGCGGGATTCGAACCCTGGATTACACGACATATGAAAAATGGCAAAAAAGGAGGGAAAATAAAAAATAAGTGGGGTTGAGATGGGAAGTTAGTGTCCGAGTGGCTCGAAGTCACGATAGCTCAAGTGGTAGAGCTGCGGCGTTTTGAGCCAAAGGTTGTGGGTTCGAATCCCGCTCGTGTCACTGGCTTTTTATCTCAACTAAAAACCTTAATTAATTGAATTATAAAAAACATATTTCTACAATTGATTTAATAATCAATATAACTATATAGAACTTACAAAACAATCTTAAATATGTCTATAAATTTGACATATTTAAGGTTTTACGAGTATCTCCAATTTGCTTAAAGACCGACTCAGTCCCAACTTTGCGAATGACTGTAAGAAACAAACAAAGAAAAGTAGATTAGATGTATTGGTCGGGGTGTAATATACCGCGCCTTTAAGAGCTATTGCATCCCCCGTTCTCTGCCGCAAAGCACACCGGTGAGCCCCATTTCATCAAGGAACTTTATTAGTAGGCCCGGTTTCAGTGGTTGAATCTCTTTTATGGTCACATCATACATCCCAAAGCATTTCTTCCTGCGGGCAAATGTAGCACCCCAGTTTGTAGTAGGTGTGTTGGTGTCTCCTCTGCCTCTTTGGAGAATCTGCATGTGCCGTCTTGGATTATTCCAATTTCTTTAAGGTCCATTTAGCTTGGAGTGTCCTGTTAAGAATCCTGTTAGGATTCGCAGTTTTTTTCCTGCTTCCTTTGACACATTCTGTAACTTCTTTCCTTCCGAAATTTGTAAGGAGATTCTTGGATTGTTTGTGTCCAATGAGGGAATTCCATTCTTCCTTCATTTTCTTTTTGTCCTTCTGAATTTGGTTCTCATTGATACGGGTTCCAAAGCCACAGAATGGCTCGGGTCTTATCAGCGGTATAGCAGCTCCTTTCCTTGCAAGGGTGTCCGCTTTCTCGTTGCCTTCTACTCCTGCGTGTGCTGGGACCCAGCAGAGGCTGATTTTGTTCTGCGTACTTAATACGTTTAATTTGGTTTTAACTATGATATTTGAATATAGTTTAACTAATGATATCTTTGAACTAATGATATTTGAGCTTAGTGCTTTGATGGCTGCTTGGCTATATGACATGATAGCTATATTCTTGTTTCAATTGGATTTTGTAAATAATTCATTGAATAGACATTTGTTGGTTTTTCTGTATAGCTTATTTCTAACGTTCCGGTAGTTTCATTTTTTAAGTTGTACCACTTTTAAGTTCAAATTTGTTTGAGTGATGGTTTTAAGTGATATAGATTCGGCTAGAATCATAGCATTGTTGGAAAATGGAAAAGTCATGCGTATGTGGCCAGGGTGCTTAAAATTCCCAGAACAACTGTCCGAAGGGTCTTTCATCTTCACCGAGATACTGGACGTTACTCAAGAAGGCATCAGGTCGCCATCGTGTCACATCTCAGAGAGATGATCGTTTTATTGTTTCGTCTGTACTCCGTAATCGACTGTTGAGATTAAGTACGACTTCAAAAAGCTAGAAATGTTAATGTCAGTTTACTTTCGGGCGAAGACTTTCAGAAGATGGATTACGTGCGAGAAGGCCTGCCACTGATCGAGAGAACTTCTGACAAAACACAGAACAGTTCAACATCAATTGGTCTGAGGAAGATTCGGTTAAAATCTTGTTTTCGGATGAGTTAAGGTTTTGTTTGAGGTCTTGGCGGCCGAGATGGGTACCTCTATGAAGTTAGACAACTTCCTTGCCCAACAACCAATTCGGTGCGGGCGTCCAAGGAAATGCCACCCCAAAACATAAATGACACACCGTAGAATGTCCCCTGAGGAACCATACAGCATGGGGCGTACCTTTCTCCTGAGCGTCTCCATATGAAATTACACTCATCTGAAGATTTGAGACCAACTCGCACCTCATCTGTGAAGAGAACACGTTACCATGTTTATGTTTCAATGTCCAGTTAACATGCTCCCGTGCGAATTGAAGCCTGGAAATTTTCTGACCTTTCGTAAAAAGAGATCCACTAGCTGGTTGCCGTGCCCTAAGGTAATTTTTATTCTTACTGTCCTGGAGGAAATCGCAATATTTCGGACTTGTATTATCAGATTTCTTATCGCGCTGTCCTGGCTTTCTAGTGTGAAGCCTTATTTCTTTGAAGCGCCGAAGAAACTTTCTTATTGTAGAGTGATTTACACTCAGTCTTCTGGCGACTTCGCGCTCGCTGTATTCTTACTGTAATAATGTTATCAACCACCGTCCTACTCACTCAAATGCCTGTCTAGAGCCATTAAAAAAGGTTTAATAATAATATCAAATGAAATCAACGAAGGAAAAGATTATCTGAAAGTGATCTTTCGGCGTAGCAGAGGGAGTGGAGGGCACAATGCCATTTTTGTGCAAATTTGATTATTCAGTGCAAAAGTAAACAAAGTAAGTAAACAAGGCATTATTTACTGTTCATTTTGGCTACGATAGCTTTCAATTGCCTGTAATTAATGTGAAAAGATAATGGATTTAATTGGAAACTAAATAAATTGAGTGGTGCGTTAAATTTATCCTTCAGTGTATTTTATAATTCATATCTCATACAAAAAAGATTTCATTAACTGTTTACCTTCCCGCATCGAGTTTACCAGAGATAAGACAATCAGTATAAAATCCGAGGTGCGAAATGTGGAGTTCGAGTTTAGCAAAATGCAGCGAGTTGCTATGAGCGTCTCTATCGGCCTCTTCTTGGCCATCCTCCTTAACGTCCTCGCCCCGCAGTCGGCGTTGGCAGCCTCCTGTGGACACAACAAGAGTCACAACGCTTTCTTCGGTACAAGACTTCCTCACCAGGACCAGTAAGTCCAGTATTATCAGCAGTACCAAACCCATTTCGTTAGTACTCACTTATGTTTGTTCGGTCAACAGGCTATTGTACATGGAACATGCTAGGGCAGGTGGGAGATGGTTGAGAGTGGTCACTTATCCCATGTCTTATCCGAATCCAGGCGACGTCCGAGGGATTATCAGTTACATAGAGGTATTAGATCAGTTCACCGACGGTACAGGCGGCTGCCCCTTTCTCAAATCCGGCGGAATTGGAAAGGATCACGTCTCCCTAGCACTCAAGTCTCAGAGAAGCTCAGGGCTCGACTTCGTCGTCAGGATTTTCGGTCATCCAATATGAAATCATCAATTTGCTTTTTTTGTTAACGTAAACCTTGAACGATTTCACGGAAGATCCTTGCTTTAAAATATCTCTAAATCTGTTTATATGAGAAAACGAATTTGATAATGTATGCTATGTACACAAGAAAAATAATAAGCTTTATTAATAATGTTATTATTTATATATTGAAAATATGGTCCATTTCAACATACTAAGTTTTTTTTTGTGTGCTTCGCTTTGTAAGTCTTTTCTGTTTCGGTTTTGGCGTTTCTACGAATGATTATAAAGGAAATTTCCTGAACTTCATTTTTTTCGCGTTTTTTATTCCTATTCGCATATCTTTATGTTTGACGAATAAATACAGATAAAATCTCCCACTTGTGTCTATAATTGGATTTTGTAAATAAATCTTTGAACAATCAATCTCTTCTCTGTTGGTTTTTCTGTAAAGTTTCTTTCTAACGTTCCTGTGGTTTTATTTCTTAAATTGTATCATTTTTAAGATTTCAACTTTGTTGTCAATTGAAGATTTAGGAGGTCAAGATAATGTGTCCAGGGTGCTTAACATTCCCAGAACGACTGTCCGGTCTTCCATCGCTGCCAAGATACTGGAAGTCATAGACATTCTACTGCTATTGACATCAAGTAGCCACTTCTTCAAGTCGGAAATGTTAACATCAGTTCACGCACTGTAACGCGAAGACTTTCAGAAGATGGATTAGGTGCGAGAAGGCCTGCCACTGGTCAAGAACTTCTGACAAGTCACAGAAAACCTCGCTGAAGTTTCGCAAGAAATCACCTCAATTGGTCTGAGTAAGATTGGACTAAAATCTTGTTTTTAGGATGAGGCAAGGTTTTGTTTGAGGTCTTCTGAAAAGCCGAGAGAGAGAGAGATAGATAGATAGATAGATAGAGAGATAAATAGAGAGAGAGAGAGAGAGACAGAGAGAGAGAGACAGAGAGAGAGAGAGAGACAGAGAGAGACAGAGAGAGAGAGAGAGAGAGAGAGAGAGAGATTGGAGAAGAACAAGAAACCGGTATATCCTCGAAAAATTTTCACTCCGGAGAAGTTATGGAATTGGTGGTGATATGGTTTGAGTAGACATTTCTAGGGAACGTCTTACAAACATGATCTTCATGTAGAGTTCTCTAACAGCTCCACGTATTGAAGATATGTATCAAAAGAAGTTGTTCCTATACACCACTAATTGGCGATGGGTTTATGTTTATGTTGTTTTGCATGACAATGCGGGACAACTTAAACCCTATCGAACACCTTTGGGACGAGTTGTCAAAACTGGTAAAAAGCCTCCCAGTGACGTCGAGAATGGCCTTGTTGGAGAAACATGAAAATATCCCACATCACAAGAGTCAAAATTTCATAAAATCGATGCCATGTCGAATCTTGTGGCGATCAACGCAAGACGGTAGAGAAATAAAAACAAGAGTAAAAGAACACTTGCCTAAATCGAGCAAATTTTCGGAATTTAAGGACCATCTAAAAAAACAACAACATAATTTCAATTCAAATTTAAATACAAGAGTGTTACATAGTTTCAACAAAGGGAAAGAACTAGATTGGTTTGAGAAATTTGAAATTAAAAAATGTAAATTTGATGGTGATAAATGCATTAATAATATAACAAATTTTGATCTACCTCCCATTTAAATATGTACATAAATAATATCAAACATCCAAATAATTAAACTAATTATTTTAATTGATATTATTTTTATAGTAATTTATAGTAATATTAAGTATTTATTGTTCTAATATTTATTTGTGTTATAATTTCCGTGTTTCGCACGTTCAAATTGAACGTCATTAAAAAAATCAGCTGATAATTGGAACATCCCGTTGGCGGAGATATCAGCGGGTTTATTTTGGCAATTTATGTTGAGAGACGTGGTTGTAGAAGTCCTTCAACCTGATGATGAGCTAAAAGGCTAAACACTTACTGTGAGTAGGAACTATCCTTTTAAAAAGTATTGAACACCACACTCACTCCGTCATTTATCATTTCTATCTTTTTATTTAATGTGTGGTGTTTAGTGACTGTTAGTTAATGATTATTTGGAGATCGTGAGATGCGGTCTGGTGTGACGTAGGTTTTAGAAAAATATTTTCTTTATCGTGCCAACGTTTCAAGCGTTATTAAGATTATCTTCAGGTCCTGGGATTTGTAAACATTGTTTGAATTATAAAAATACAAGTAGGATATGAAAAAAACGAATTTATACAATACTAAAAATTTTACATTCAATCAAAGTATTTGTACTCTCTCAAAGTGTTTGTTTTCTGTGGAGATGTGTCATTATTGTGTGTCGTGTTGAGAGTGCCAGTGAGATATAGATGTTTTATGTCTATATACGTTGGAGTTTGAAGGGTTGGAGAAGGAAGTCGGGATAGAAAGACATGATTATATGAGGAGTCGGCTTCTTGGAGGTGAAAGGAGCCGACAGTGGGAAAAAGTTGGTAATCGCTCGGCCTCATCGCATCACACAAAATATATAACATATAAAACAATCATCACATTCCACACATCAAACATTTCTACATCGTCTAATTCTTCAACAATTTGTCTTTCCTTTCCCTAATTACCCCAGTCTATATAATCCTGAAAGGATAATCAGGCCGAGCCATTACCCATTTCTTCCCATTGTCAGCTCCTTTCACCTCCAAGAAGCCCGACTCCTCAAATAAAAATGTCTTTCTATCCCAACTTCCTTCCCCACACCTTCAAAATCAAAAATATATAAACAAAAAATATTAATATCTCATTAAATTCACTAATTTCGTGGTCCGCTTGACCAGTTAATACATTACAATTAATGAAGGTTTTTAGTTGAGATGAAAAATGGCAAAAAGGAGGGAAAACTCATAAGGTAGGGTTGAGATAGGAAGTTGATGTCCGAGTGGATCGAGGACACGATAGCTCAGGTGGTAGAGCAGCGGCGTATCTAGCCGAAGATCGTGGGTTCGAATCCCGCTGGTGCCATTAACTTTTTTTCATCTCAACTAAAAACCTTAATTAATTGTAATGTATTAATTGGTCAAGCGGACCACGAAATTAGTGAATTTAATGAATTAAAATGAAGTACACTTCACTAAAGCTCTCCGTGGCCATTTCATTTGTCGTCGAGAATCCAAAACGATTACACGACATTTGAAAAATGGCAAAAAGGAGGGAAAACTCATAAGGTGGGGTTGAGGTATTAAGTTGATGTCCGAGTGGATCGAGGTCACGATAGCTCAAGTGGTAGAGCAGTGGCGTATCTAGCCGAACATCGTGGGTTCGAATCCCGCTCGTGCCATTAACTTTTTTCATCTCAACTAAAAACCTTAATTAATTGTAATTAATATCTCACTGGCACTCTCAACACGAGAGACAAGAATGACACATCTCCACAGAAAACAAATACTTTGAGTGAGTACAAATATTTTGAATCAAAAATTTTTAGCAATGTTGAAATTTCTTTTTTTTTCACATCCTGCATGAAGATGATCTCAATAAAGATCGAAACGTTGATACGACAAAGAAAATGTTTTTCTAAACCTACGTCACACCAGACCACATCTCACGATCTACAAATAACCTTTTATTTAATTTGGTAGAAGGTCAAATGATAACTGACTTTTCTTAACTGACTCTACTTTTGATGCGAACTGTTAAAATATAACAGGACACTTCTCAAAAATCGGAAACATTTTCGGGGGCAAAAAATGGATAAATTTAAATTCAAACAAAAATTTGTATTTAGGCGTCTCTAGAAGTGCTAAAACGAAACTTTATATTAATTTCACGAAAAAATTATGACCTAGTTTACTTAAAAAATGTTTAGTTTTTAAAACGTTTTTGGTTATTGATAAACGTTGATAGCTTTTATTATATTTTTATTGCAATTTAGATTTAAAAAATGTAAAATGATATATTCACATAGGTAATTTAATCAAGTAGAGAAAGACGAAATAATAATATTAAAAAACAGAAAATTTCAACTTTCAAATTTTTTTAGCGAAATCACCAAAAAAGTTTGGTCTAAATCCATGGCATTGGTCGTTTCCTTGTAAGACATTTTTTGCTCGAGGGTCGGAATGACCAACATGAAATAAACTCAATACTCACACAAAATAAATAATAAACTAAATATTTAAGTTCCTTAAGTGGTAAGATTACAGCAGGCTTAGGACTTATTTTTTTATTATTTGATGAGAAATCCACCGTTGCAAGGTTTGAGGGAGGGTTGGAATGCGTATTTGTAATCAGGTGCCGTGAGCCGGTCGGGAGGAGGACGGTGGCTAATTGCAAGGTCCGTAGTGCCGATAGCGTTGGGATCGATCTCGCAAACACAAGGGCCGTCGACTAATTCAGGGAGGGCGAGGGTCGTTAGGCGATGTCACAGGACACTGTAAGGGCGTAGGACAACGTTTGATGTATTTTTTTGTCAGGTAGGACGAGGGTGCGTGCGGGCGTGTATGCCAGGGAGTAAAGGGAATATTGAATGGGCTGGATCAAGCCGTCCCTAATCATCTAATCCCGGCTTTCGTTTGCTTTTCCACCGGACCGGCTTCATTAAATACCGGAAGTCACACAGTCCGCTCATAATTTACCCCCCGTCGCTCGTCTTTCCATCCTCGCCATCCTCACTCTCCCTTCAATTAGTCAAATGAGGGTAGTCCCGGAGTTTGGTCCAATAACGCCCTCTCTAATCGCCACGCTTCCTCCCTCGCTAGCCCTAATAAACCATCGCTCTTGTTTATTTCTCGCATTTTCACACGTTCAATGCCATTCCAGCCGGTTCATAGCAAGAATCACAAAAAGTTGAAAATCCGGTTGATACGCAAATTTTATCTTTCTCTCCCCCTCTCGACCCCTCAACATTTCTCTTTGTCTCTTGTTATTATTATTATTTTTTTTTTTTTCGTTTTGCGACATTATTCTACAAATGACGTCCCTTCGACAATCGTGGCGAAAAGTCCCGATCGATCTCTTCATCCCAACTCAAGTCTTCTTTTTCCTACATATTTTGTATATACTACTTCTCGCTGCCAAATTTAAACAATTAACAATTCTTTTATCCAAAATTAACAGGAAAATCAATACTTGTTCTGAGAACGTTTGGAATATAAAAATAAATAATATATGTAATATATATAATAAATAATATAAGGTTTGAAGAGACCTCTACTCATGACTTGATCATTATGAGTTTTTAGACCAAAATTGTTTAATATAAACCAAATTAGCCAGATCAGAATTTTTGAGTTTTAATAAAAACTAGTTCGTTGTGATGAGTTGGAAGAAAATACTCCAAATAACCGGAAAGGCATTTAGCGATATATTACAATTTAATGTGTTTGGGATCTGATTTCTGGGCAATTTCAATCCTTGTCAATTATTGACCCGAAACCAGGTCCCAAACACATTAATCGTCGTGGTCGATTTCTTCTTCATCAACATTAAAATTTAAATAACAATTTATTACCTGGTAGTAGATAAGTTAGGTCACTTTCCACCTTCATGGGGTCGTCGAACCCACCTCCACCATACACCACTGCCATCAATCACACCTCCACCACGCACCACATCCTCCACCACTCCATTTAACAAATAAAATTAGATAGATTAAAATTTAACAAACAATTTATTACCTGGTATTACATAAGAAAGGCCGGTTCTGGGCCCGCTAATGCCTGAAAACTTTCCACCTCCGCCTTACACCTTCTATCTTCATTGGTGAAACAGAACCTACCCTTCACCACAAACCACGTCCCACACGACCCCATTATAATAAAAAAATATTTTACAAAAAACTAGATAGATTCAAATTTAATTAAGAATTTAATATTTTGGTTGTATCGTAGATAAGAAAAACCGTTTGAGAGCCCGCCAACTCCTGACTCCGCCTTACACTTACCACCTCCATGGGTCTGAAATCGAACCCACCTCCACGACACACACCACCGCCGCCAGCACATCACACTTCCACCACATCCCCCACCATTCCATTGTAACAAAATAAAATAATAGAATATATAATTGTCCTGTTAACGAATCTTCTTTCCTTTGCTATGTTACTACTATTATTAACTCCTGCAATTCACTAGTGTTCGTGGNAAAATAAAATAAATAGTTAAAAATCGAATAAATAAATTAATGAATTGATTAATAAAAAATATCAAAAAAATAAAATTAAAATAAAAATAAAATGTTTGCTTTTTACATGTTGAATTTACGGTTTTCTCCTCGGATGCAAGCAGAAACATGTAAGATGTGGAAATTTCCAATAATTTTTCCAATTTTTCTTTCATACATTTGTATAATTTAAACGATGTTTATAAATCCCAGGCCCTGAAGATGATCTCGATAATGATCGAAACGTTGGCATGTTAAAGAAAATCTTTTCTTAACCTACCTCACACCAGACCGCATCTCACGATCTCTAAATAATAATTAATTAATGGTCACTAAATATCCACATCCATTATATTATTAATGCATTTATCTCCATGATCGATTGTACATGTTTTAAATTCAAATTAATCAAACCTATCAAGTTCCCTCCCTTGGCTGAAACTGTGTAAAACTGTTGTATTTAAATTTAAATTGAAATTGTGTTTTGTTTCTTTTAGATTTTTTAGAGGTTCGTACATTTCGAAAAGTGGTTCGATTTAGGCAAGTGTTATTCAACTGTCGTTTTAATTCCTCTATCGCTTTGCCGTATATATTTAATGTCGCAATCATTTAAATTAAGTTAGTAATTAAGTAGTAAATAAAGTATTAGTTTAAATTAAGTTAAAAAAAGTACCACTTTTTACCAGGTTGTCTACCTTGCCTTTAGGTTTTGAGAGGATGTTTCAAAGTGAACACGTACCTCTAAAAGCTACTCTAAAACTTTCTTGTTTAAGAATTTCACCTACTTTTTCGGATACTTCACCAACGTATGGCAAACGACGAAAACCTAATAATTTTTTTTTTTGGTGGGTTGGCTGAGTCCAATTGTTGCTTTTTTAAAGTTAATTTTGTATTCTTTTAACTATCAACCTATCAATAAATATTTCTTGATATCCATTGTTTTTAGCTAAGGTTTTCATAGTTTGTAATTCTTTTTTATAGTTAGCTGGCGTTAAAGGGAGTTTTAACATATGGTCTATGAGCCAAATGAAACCAGCAGTTTTTGTGTCCATGGGGTGAGAAGAATCCGCTGATATCATGGTGTCCGTAGTTATGGGTTTTCTATATACACTCGGCAAAAAAAGTCTGGAACACTTAATTAAGTTTTGCACTTATGCTCCCCTTAAAATAGGTTATTTCCCCATAATGAAACTACTCTTATTTTATACAACAAACATTAAACTTTTATTTTGACAAAATATAACAGTAATGCATGTCAACAATATTTAACTAAAAACGTAGGAAACAAAAAAAAATTTCCTTAATTCAAAAAAAGATTGGAAACACTTGTGTATACAAAGCGTACAACGCATTCCAAGAATAACAACTGATAGGGGAGAAAAAAAAACTGATTATACTCGCAATGGGCACGGGGACGAAGGTTATTGTGTTGCTGTTTGGTCCTTCCCCGAGGGAGAGGATCTTTTCCTTGTTTAGATAAATGAATGAATAATAAACAAAAGAATATTAAAAAAGAAACAATTCTTATATTGAGAAAATTTGGAGTGGCAAGGACTGGTGGCGAAGTTAGGTAGTGTTTTAGTGTGTCAAACGCTTTTTGGCACTCATGATTCCATGTCAAATCTACATCTTTTGTTTTTAATTTATGCAATGGTGAGGCGATTTGTGAATAATTTGGAATAAACTTAGCAAAAAACGCCTAAAAAGGAAAGTGTTTGCTTTAACATTTTTGGAGGGTGTAAGTTTTTTAAAGATTTTACTCTATCAGGATCGATCGTTATACCGCCGTGAGGCCGATAGAGACGCTCATAGCAACTCGCTGCATTTTGCTAAACTCGAACTCCACATTTCGCACCTCGGATTTTATACTGATTGTCTTATCTCTGGTAAACTCGATGCGGGAAGGTAAACAGTTAATGAAATCTTTTTTGTATGAGATATGAATTATAAAATACACTGAAGGATAAATTTAACGCACCACTCAATTTATTTAGTTTCCAATTAAATCCATTATCTTTTCACATTAATTACGGGCAATTGAAAGATTGATTAATTGAAAGTTAGAAAGAAGCTTTACAGAAAAACCTACAGAGATGGGATTGATTGTTCACAGATTGATTTACCAAATCCATTTATAGATACAAGTGGGAGATTATTTCTGTTTTATTTACCAAACAGAAGATAGGATAATAGGAACAAAAATAGGGAAAAAAGGAAGTTTCAGGAAATTTTCGTTATAACAATTCGTAGAAAGGCACGAAATCAAACAGAAAAGACTAAACAAGGCGATCCACAAAAAAAGACAAAATTAGTGTGTTGGGATGGACCATATTTTCAATATATAAATAATAACAGTATTAATGAAGTGTTTTATTTTCTTGTGTACATAGTATTTATTATGAAATTCATTTAAACGGCCATTCCAGCCGGTTCATAGCAAGAATCACAAAAAGTTGAAAATCCGGTTGATACGCAAATTTTATCTTTCTCTCCCCCTCTCGACCCCTCAACATTTCTCTNTTTTCTTGTGTACATAGTATTTATTATGAAATTCATTTAAACGACACAAAGCACGGACTGAAGATCATGTGCTGTCAAGGTATTGTATATTTGGCTCATATACAAATATTTAGAGATAGTTAAAGGAAAGTATCTTCGGTAAAATTCTTTAATATTTATATTAACTAAAAAGCAATTTGATATCTTAGTCATTGATTACCGAAAATCCTGATTACGAAGTCGAGTCCTTTGCCTCTCTGGGACACGAGTTCTAGAGAGACTTCATTGCTTCTAATTCCGCCTGATTTGATCAAAGCGCAGCCGCCTGTACCGTCGGTGAACTGATCTAATACCTCGATGTAACTGATCAACCCTCGGACGTCGCCTGGATTCGGATAAGATATCGGATAAGAGACCTCTCTGAACCATTTCCCACTCACCCTAGGATGTTCCATGTATAATAGCCTGTTGACCGAACAAACACAAGTGAGTACTAACGAAATGGGTTTGGTACTGCTGATAATACTGGACTTACTGGTCCTGGTGAGGAAGTCTTGTACCGAAGAAAGCGTTGTGACTCTTGTTGTGTCCACAGGAGACTGCCAACGCCGGCTGCGGGGCGAGGACGTTGAGGAGGATGGCCAAGAAGAGGCCGATAGAGACGCTCATAGCAACTCGCTGCATTTTGCTAAACTCGAACTCCACATTTCACACCTCGGTTTTTATACTGATTGTCTTATCTCTGATAAACTCGACGCGGGAAGGTGAACAGTTAATTAAAGCTTTTTGTTTGAGAAATGAATTATAAAATATAATAATTGGAGTGTGTTACTCAATGTTTAATTATTCTGAGTTTTTAATCAGCATAAGCAAAGCTTCGATTGTGTGCAGATATTAAAAGTTAATTAAAAACCTAAGACGTTTGTACCACTTTATTTTAAGTGAATAAAGCATAAGTAGATAACACAATGATTCAATGATTTAATTAATAAATGGAAGCTAGCGAGCGGGGAGTCGAATCAGTGTAAATCTGCGGATTGGTAATTTCGTTTCAAATTTTTGAAAGTGATTGTGACTGAAAATTGTGTTTAAAAAAATGGCGTCACGTCCTCATTTCACTCCGGTAAAACAACTACGGTTCACCTGGCACAATTGTAGAAAATGGCGCAATTTTGATGCAGTTTTATGAATTAGTAAAGAAAAAGTGTAAAGTTTTTACAGAAAAACACAGAAAATATTTTTTAATTTAAAATAAATGCTGTCCAATTCAAAGTGAACAAATAAGAGATATCACAAAATTTTATGTGTATCTACCTTTGGTATTCTTCCCATAATCAATTCGTTTTTGTTTCCTAGCAATAACTTCAGGATCAGTTTCTGCCACCTCTCTGCTATTTTAATTATTGTTTGGAGTTCCTCCCAAAGCTTGAAATCCTGATTTCTTTTTGTAAGTAAAAGTGTTGACCTTGGAATCTTACTGGTGCTCAGCATTAACATGTCATCATTGCATTCAGATTTATTATCCAAAATTGTAAAAAAAATAAAAATAAATTATTTGACTCGCCATTTGTTGGAGGTTCACCCTTGGAGTGACTGTTCATCAGGCATTCATTCGGGTCTATGTTGCCCGGGCTAACCAAGTTGAATTTCCCTAAATGGACAGTAAGAATTAAAATTAATTAAGGTTTTTAGTTGAGATAAAAAGTCAATGGCACGAGCGGGATTCGAACCCACGTTCTTCGGCTAGATACGCCGCTGCTCTACCACTTGAGCTATCGTGACCTCCATCCACTCGGACAATAACTTCCCATCTCAACCACACCTTTTGAGTTTTTCCCTCCTTTTTGCCATTTGAATTAATTAATGAATTAAAATGAAGTATACTTCACTAAAGCTCTCTGTGGCCATTTCACTTGTCGCCGAGAACACGACATTTGAAAAATGGCAAAAAGGAGGGAAAATTGAAAAGGTGCGGTTGAGATGGGAAGTTAGTGCCCGAGGGGATCGAAGTCACGATAGCTCAAGTGGTACAGTAGCGGCGTATCAAGCCGAAGATCGTGGGTTCGAATCCCGCTCGTGCCATTGACTTTTTTATCTCAACTGAAAACCTTAATTAATTGTAATATATTAATTGGTGAAGCGGACCACGAAATTAGTGAAAGTAAGAATTAAGTCAACCTGTACAAAATCTTGTCGGTTGTTTTATACTGAGACTTTCCCCGGTGTTGCTTTAAGGTGTTTTCCAAAGTTGGGTAGTTTGTCTGACTTCGGAACTGCGCTGTTTTTAACGTCGATCACTCCACGTTTAGCTGACTCTGCAATAAAGGCTCAGATAAAATTATTAAACTGTGTCTGGTTACACATGCCTCTTTTTGGTTTCTTCAACAATGTTTGCGAAACTTTTACGACACACTCATATAAGAAGTGATCGTAACCATAACACCACCACCGACAAAGTTTCTCTGGAGTGCAAATGTTGCGGGGGTATATCGCTCTCCGGTTCTTCTCCCAGGGTTTGGAGAAATTAATTAAAATTAATTAAAATTAACAAATTTGAGATGGCATAAAATTTTACTATGCTTCGTTTCAATGTAATATATTGTTCAGTCTTAACACCATTTTCGCTAGATATTGCAGTTCTGACCTCAGTATGCTTGTCAGTAAAACGGGCCTTAATCTGTATATCAGTCAGTTCACCTGAATCCTGAAGAACACCGGGGGGAGTGAATGTGACCCGGAATTAATTTATAATATAATAATATATTATAATTATATTTAATTATAATTGTAATATAATAATAAATATCATTATAATTAGGATTGAATATTAGGGGACCCTAGGTGAAGATCAAGTTTGTGCGACCTTCCACAGAAATGCCTGCCCAAACCACCGCCAAAGTTTCTCCGGAGTGAAAATGTTGCAAGGATATATCCCTGCTCTCCGTTTCTTCTCCAAACCCTATCTCGGCCGCCAGAAGACCTCAAAGAAAACCTTGACTCATCCGAAAGCAAGATTTTAACCCAATCTTGCTCAGACCAATTGATGTGATTTCTTGGGAAACTTAACGGAGCTGTTCTGTACCTTGTCAGAAGTTCTGGAAAGTGGTAGGCCTTCTCGCGCGTAATGCATATTGTGAAAATCTGTCTTATTTACCTCTAATCTTTTAAAACGAGCCAAATATTGTTGTAATGTAATCAATGGAGGATTGTCTAAGACAGGGGTGCTCAAACGGTCGATCGCGATCGACCAGTCGATCGCGAGTGCTTTTTGAGTAGATCTCGAGAAGAAAAAAATTTTTAATAAGTAGGTAGGTAACTAAACTACAAAAATGTATTACGTAATAAAATAACACTGCTTGCGGCAAAAGGTGGCTTTATCAAAGGAACGCGCGGCACTTGTCAAAGAAAAGCCGCGTTGTTTCTAGACTAGTAGACAGTACAGTCTAGTCNCTACCTAGGTAGGTAGGGTGTATCGTGTATGTACGACAACCCTGCATCACACACACTTGCAGCCTCTCAGAGTCGATCGTAAGTAGTCTAAAAATATTGAGGTAGATCGCCAGCAGTTCAAGTTTGAGCACCCCTGGTCTAAGAGATAATTAAAAATGTTAAGGTTGGCCACTTGTTTCATTTCAGTGTAGATAATTTTTACAGTTGTATCATGTTTAAACTTTTTTTTTTTTTCTGTTGCACCACGCCGTGCCCGACCTTTGTAATTATACTGATAACAGCTAACTGCTCGAAATATTGAAATGGCTCTTGAGTGCCTATCGCGGCAAGTTTTCTGTGCCGATTGCTCTTGAACGTGCAATGACTTCCCAAATTAGTCTATCTTGTTAAGATGTTCAATTAATTTGAAATGTTTGCGGTGTTGTATAAAACGCGGTGGTTTTGACGTGAATGTGTGTAGAAGCAGTTTTGCGGCTGGGCTACGTGGGGCGCGCTAATAAAATATGCGGAGGAGAATGTGGAAGCGGTGCTGGGAAAAGGGGATGATGATGATAGGTGATGCAGGGGATTGATTGTCGGCCGGCGGGCGATACGTCGTGAGGGCATTAGACGGTCCGGTGGGCCTTTTGTCGCGGGGCATTGTCCCCGGCAACAGTGCACATCTGCCAGTCAATACGTCATAACCTTTCAATTAGGCCCGTGACAACAAACCGGGTCGAGTTTTTTGCTTTGGCCGGCAGGAAAAACCAGATCGGAACGAATATCGGCACCGGCGGCGGGGGGACGGGAGGTTAATCCGGGCGGATTTACGTCCGCCCCGGCCCGTGGAGAGCGTCAGACATCAAGCTATTTATTTATACCGCTATATCAACCGAGGAGCCCCTATTTATTTGTGGCTTACGGCTAGCCTTCAAACCAGAGTTGATTTATGCCCTGCATCAAACGGACGGAGAAAATATGCTCCACCCATTCATTATTGGGTTAAACCCTGTATAGATTTTAAAATGGGGCTGAGGCACACCAGTTTACCAAGTTCTTCTCCATACTACTCTGAATAATTGAAATTATCGACCGTACTGACCAAAAAGGCTGAAAGCTCACTGCTCAATACATAAAGAAAAAAGTTTAATCAACTTGATTAACACGTCAACATAGAATTTGTTTCGAAAGATTATCAAAATAGACAAACAATGGAAGAACAAAAAAGGGTACAACTATTACACACAATTCAAACAAAAACTAATACTAATACGACTACCAATAAATTATAAGGTTTAAATATGAATCGGATTCAATAAGAACACGAATAAAAACCGGATACTAATGAAATATATAACAGAAGCCATCAAAACATCGTAACGAACCTGTTCCAACCCAAGAGTTCCAAAGGTTAACAATCAATAGTTAATGCAATCCACAATTCCTCAGCATGTGAATTGTCAATTCCTTTGGTTTAATGAAAAATATTTGAATTTTCACACAGGTTAGAATTAGTTAATTAGATAATTTCTTGTACATAACGGACTGGGCAAGGTTGTCTTCAACAATAAGGGATCCGGTTCGTCCTCCAGTGTAAATCCCACTGAAGGGAGCTCGAACTGGGGCATTTTACGCATCCCCTGTTTTCGGTAGACTCTTCGGCGCCTGCTATCACTGTACAGACATAAACACGACTCATCATATCATAAACAAACATAACAGCATTCCAATTGGTGATCTCTTCTAGGCGCTCGCTGCATGATATTCTCCTGAGTTGCTGGTTGGCTGTTGCTGCAAGTTATCTCCAAGGGGTATACAATGTGAGACCAACTTCCCACAAACGATTCGTAATTGTTAAAGGCCTTGCCAACTTTATTTAGGATCTGACGAGCACTATGGAACAGATTCCGTCTTGCAGTAATGGAATATTTCTGTCCTCCCTTAGCGCCCTATTGCGCTGAGATCCACTACCAGGCCTCCTGTTGGCGCTTGCAGTCTCTTGAAATCGGGTTAAATCCCGTTGGACCGCGCTCTGAGATACGCCAACTGCCTGTTGATGGTGACCTCGATGACTCATCCTTACAATAATACTGCAATCAGTTTTTGCAGTTAACTGGTGATCGAAACGCCATCTCTGCAACGCATCCCACATGTGCTCAATGGGATTGAGGTGGGTCTCATTGGGTGAAGGGGCAGATGGGAATTTCCCAGGTTTTGTAAACATTGATGAACAGCTATGCCTCTATGATGACTGACATTGTCATCCACAAATCGAAAAGCCAATGATATCCTTGGTTTGAGTGATGTATTCCTCGATAATTTCTTGGTCATAACGGACTGCGGTGAGGTTGTCTTCAACAAAATGGAGTCCACCTCGTCCTCCCGTGTAAATCCCAAACTTCACTGGAGGGAGCTCGAACTGGGGCATTGCACCCATCCCCTATTCGCGATAGACTCTTCGGCGCCTGCTAACACTATACTGACAGACACGCGACTCATCAGTAGACAAAACAGCATTCCAATTGGTGTTCTCTTCTAGGCGCTCGATGTACCATATTCTCAAGCTTACTGTAGCCTTGAGTGCCTGGCAAGCATTCTAAATCAGTAGACGGTTTGGCGAATTTCTGAAAGAATTTGCCACAGCTAACCGTCGGGTGTGAGATAAGCTACACTTCGCGGGCAGCAACATGCGAGTCCTATATGCGAGAATTACTGAACTACGGGCGCAAGTATGTTCCAAGTCTACTGCTTGCAATTGAGGTCGGACTCGTAGTGGTTCGTGGTGAGGCTCCTTGAGAGTAGCCCAGAGGGTACATAGTACCTTCTGGACGGTGGTTTGCATTCCACTTAAACAAAAACCGGTGCCGGCCCGTCTGTCGGAAGTGCCTACACTAGGGGTTTCGATAGAGCTGCCTTCTCTATCGATCGGGAGGAGCTTCGGCTGCGACGCTGGTCGGGCGGTCTGCCGACCCAGCCCTGCAGAAGGGACAAGCGGGGAAGAGCCTTTTTCAAGGCTCTACGTGAAAATCTACGGTATTGCACGCCCCACCGTAGACGGAAACGTGTCGCCTCCCTTCTTGAAAAACGACCCCGTGCTTGCACGGGGGACCGATATGGCCCTAGGGTCTTAAAAGATCCTCATGTCATTCTCAGGAGCTTGAGCAAGATTGGGAACGAATGTACCATATTCTCCTGAATTGCTGGTGGCTCAAGTTTGAAAAATACCTCAAAGTTTGGTTTTTAAGAAATAATGTATAGGTATGCCCCTAAACGTAATCCTAGAGGTTATCGAACTTCACGAAAAGTTCATTATTTATTAAGCTTTGCAATTCTAATATCCATAAAACCTCCTGATTATAGAAGACTAGTGGCGTATCAATTGTTGACATGAGACCAACTATTACGACTCAGGTGGTGATGGTAACTAGAACTATTTGGTTTCAAGTTTTATAAATTTCTTCACAATAAATTGAAGGATTTACAAGCGTTAGATGTTAAAATCGCACATCCCTACCATTTTTCTTCATTGCACCTATAGTTACTCGTGTGGATAAATTTTTTCTAAATTTATCAGATGTCCTGAGATCTTAATGAAGCGCTGAATATGCTTACTAATAATTTTCAGCTCCGATCCATTTGAGAATCCAAACATTTTGGATAGGGAAGGAACGCGAAACCGGTAGACCGTTCAGATGCTCACAACACTCACCATTTTGGCACATTGTACAATAACGACTTCTTAATCAAATTGTTATGTTTCTCTCCAGAAATATATACGTCCACACCCTTAATACTACTTTGACGGGAGCTTTAAAATTAGGAGAAACAGCTTTCAAAAATAAAAAAAATTATAAACTAAACATCTTAAATAGAAAAAAATAGATATCGTACACTTAGTTGCTCTTGAAAATAGACTTGTAAAACTTAACGTATTTGAATTTTTCCATTTGTCGAAAGTTTAAATGTACATGTACGTTACACTATTTCATATTTTTACATAAAAATTGACGTTTATTGTATTTCGTTTTGCGAACATGACCATTCTTTGTTACGTTACCATGTCTTAAAAAAGTGAACTGGTCTATCTGTCTAAATCTACATAAAGGCAAAAGAATACTCTTCACGTCTTTTATAATTCTGTACAGTAGTTTACAAGTGTTGTAGAGTAAAAAAAAATTAACCAGTCACAAAAGGTATTATTAATGGAAAAGCAAACAAAAAAGAAACGATGAGATCATGGAGTTTAATCAAAAGTAGAACTATTGTTTCTAATCGAAAATAATTGCGTAATGGTTTGTCCATTGCGACATTGTTTTAATTGTTGGAAAAGGCGTTAAAATCAACCCAATCGATAAAATCATCGAACTACAAACGTTATACCTTATAATAAAACAAATATAAGCATAAATGTACATGTCTGTAAAATGATGTAAATAGGGAATGAACATTTAAATATGACGAGGTTTCGGCATCTTTTGTGCCATAAACATACTAATTTTTCTAATAAGAATTTTTTAAATAATATTTTTATCGCAAAACAAAATTGTATAAATTAAGTTGACTACTTGTTAGAAGCTACAACCACGTAGCACGTGTATTTAAAGCAAGATAAGTTTAGATAATAATAATAATTTAATTATCCAAATAATCATTAAGTAACGGTCACTAAACACCACACAGATAATAATAATATTCATGTCGAAAGTTTAGTAGATGACAAACAGCTGAGATGTTTTTACTTCTTTTCCGTCTTTCATGCACATGTTTGCAGCCATTCGAGGGTCTCGATCTGTTACAGACTCTCAGCTTTTATATGAAAACTAAGTCGCTTTTATGCTGCGCTAGCCTCTCGTTAGACGTCATGTTGTCAACTACAGAAAATATATAAAACAAACAATACATAGTACATCATCACAACATAGAAATCTGGTTACATTCACTCCTCCAGAATATTTGACCTGACGGACGGCGGGGTTAAGCAACCCCTTCCTTTCGCGCTAATAATTTACTTCCATTTCTATAAAGATAAGTTTAGAAGAATTAAAATAATGATTAATTGAACATGGCAGAAATTGTACAGAAATGCTTTAACAAATAAAAAATTAACAACACAATAAATCCATTTTGGAAAACAAAACGTATACAATAATATCTAGGATTGACTATTCTTTTATAAAATTGCATTGCTGAATAAATAGGATGATTAGCTATGAAACCAAGATAAGAGTTGTTAAAGATATATATGGCAATTAAAATTTGGCTTTTGCCTGAATTTTGGCCCTGAGAATTTCAATAAATGCATCCGCTTATAGCATAAATGAATGGGGTTCACATTTTATTTTCCTTTGACATTTTTTAAAATCACTTCATTCGATGAAGTCATAAAACAATTAACAGGCAAATCCAGAAGTATATAATTTTCAGAATGATTAACTGAACTGTAACCAGAGCATCTAGTTTCTCAGTTTTTCTTTTATTATTTGGAGATAGTGAGATGTGGTCTGGTGTGACATAGGTTTTAGAAAAACATTTTTTTAAACATTACTGTGAATTTGATTAATGATAGCGTAACTGCGATTGAGTTTACATGTGTTTGTTCTGTTGATGCTGTGCTTATCCCTGTTGATGTAAAACATTTCTAAAAAGTTACGTTTATGTTTGTTTTGTTCTGTGCGTAATATTTTTATATTGTTAAGTCCAAATTGTGTCGATTGTTCAAAACGATGGGTAGCCAATGCTGTAGGATTTTCTTTGGGTTTTTTGCAATCATAGATAAATCTAATCTAAAACTCAAACTAAAAATTTAAACAATGTTTATAAATTCCAGGCCCTGAAGATGATCTCAATAAAGATCGAAACGTTGGCACGATAAAGAAAATGTTTTTCTAAAACCTACATCACACCAGACCGCATCTCACGATTTCCAAATAACCATTAACTGTCTCTCAACACCACAACATCTTTGCATCACATTTTACATTATGCAGAGATACATTAATATTAGATTTAGTGACAAAATTGTGTATATTTATCGTATGCATGACCTCCACATTCTAGTTTCTTAATACAGTTTTTTATATTTTTTTGTGTGTCGTAATATCCGTTTACTTATGTTTGTACGTTTGATTTATTCCAGGTAGTGGAAGTCCTCCCGGCCTTGTGGGCGGCATCCAGGATGTGGTGATCCCGTCTGGTATCACGCGCCTTCCTCTTCACCCTCTGCTGCACCCTTTCCCGTTGGCGGCGCAGGGTTCGGCGTTCAAGCCACCGGCCGCACCCCCGCACTCGCCGCCCCCGTCGCCGTCCCCGGACTCGCCGAAGGAGCCGGGAAAAATCACCAAGACCAAACCCAGCAACAGCAAGACCCAGGTGTGGAGGCCCTACTAACACAGGACCATCGAAACCGCTAAACGACCAAATCCCACGACTTTCTTGTGATCAGTATTATTTATTCTGTACAGAAAAATCAGAGTTTATATATAAAGTATGTAAATTTATTATATTTGTAAATACGTACAAAGATTTGTATTATAAAAATGTACATAATTATAGAGATTATTGTAGTTATAAGTGTAAAAAAAAAAAAAAAACACGTGTGTGCTTTCGAAATAATTTAAGCACTGAAATCTAGCAGGTTCCCTCTCACACGTCATGATCTAGTTTCTGTGAACTTTTTAAATGAATGTGCCCTTTTCACTATCGCAATGTTATGATCTTTTGTAAAATTATGATTTTTTACAATTGTGTAATACAATATTTTGTTTTCCAGCACTTCATTTAGAATTTTATGAGATTTTATAAATTATATTGAATGAACTGTTTTAAATACAATATAATACATTTTTAGTATACTACGTGCGTTATTGACATACCTGTTGCAGTATTTCCTCTCCTTACATGACGTCTCACGGTCATCTTGATGTATAAATATCGAATTGTTAGAAATTCAAAAGTAGAAAAGTAAATTTTCATTATAAATTTGTCAATAGTTGATTACAGTTGAAAATATGTTCATCAAACTTACTACATACTTATTTCTTACTTGTAAAGCCGTTTGGTCATCTTTTGGGACTGTTTTGTTGCATATGCCACCATCTTCAGCGGTGCTTTTTGTCTATTTTCAAGTTTTTTCAATTATTTTAATTTTCCTTCTACAATTTTGTTCAAGTTTTGTTTGTTTTTGGAAGGTTTAGTCTGCTCAGGTCATTTTGTTTTTTTATGTGTATTATTTTAATAAAGTGTTCAGTGTTTTGATTGGTATCTTGATAATAAGTTTCTTTTGTGTTTGACATTTCAAGTATGTCAATTTTCCGTTTTTTCTTACGTCAAGAAGAAATCTTTTTTTTCTTTCAATATTTTAATTTCCCTTCTACAAAAAATATGAAAATCGGTAAAACTGTTGTGAAACTTGGTTGGGATTAGCCACATTTTCAACATAAAGTAGTAATAACAACATTAACGAACTGTTTTATTCTTTTATGGACGGCTTACATACACAAAGCATTACATGAAGTCCATCTGCTGTCAACGTATAGTATATTTTGCTAATATATAGAGATTTAGGGTAGTAAAAGGAAGATTTTCCGTGAAATCGTCGAAGGTTAATTCATTCAAAAAATATTAATTTTAAGAAGGCTGCTTGGGTTTACCGTATATACTGACGACGAACTCCATCCCTAAGCTCTTCTGAGTTCTGAAGTGTAGAGTGACATTATCGTACCCAACTCCGCCTTCTATGAGGAAGACGCAGCCGCCTTTGCCGTCGGCCGTCCGATCGGACGCTTCGATGTAAGTTATGTTGCCTCGGATGTCGCCTTGTTCAGGATAAACGAACGGATATGTGGTCGATTTCTTTTGTCTCGGACCCACCTTGATGTTTTCGCTGCGCAAGAGCTGTTGCCTGTGGGACGACCGAACGGAAATGAGTACATACAAAATTAGTTTTATATTGCTGAGAATGTCAGACTTACGTATTGTCGTCCGGTTGTTTTGTACCGAAGACAGCATTATGTTGATCATTCTTTCTACAGCGGCGGGTGGTCGACGCTGACTGCTGGGCGGAGATATTAAGAAGGATGGCCAAGAAAAGGCCGAAAGAAACGCTCATAGCAACACGCCGCATTTTCCTACCATCGAACAACTCCACACCTCGGTTTTTATACCTATTGACTAAGTAATGATGAAACACGGCCCGGGAAGGTACACAATCAATGAAAGGTTTTTTTGTTTGCTGTATGAATTATTCATCGAGTATGTCAATTCAATGAACCTTCAACTATTCTGAGTTTAAACAGGAAAAAATTTCTGATACGTGCAGCTTTTAATAACTTTTAATTCACAGCCTAATACGTTTGTACTATATTATTTAGAATATAAATACAACCATATGACATACATCGATTGGAGTATTTTCATAGATGAGGTGTCAGGAAGGAGAGAAATTAGTAGAAATTTATAGATTGGTAATTGCGTTTTAAATTTGTACATCGATTGTGTCTGAAAAACGTTCTTACACGTTTACGTTCTCATTTCACGCCAGTATGAACTATGGTTTCTATCACCCTCATGTGGAAAATGGCCCAAATAGAAAGAAAAACATTGCTAAATTTTTACACAAAAATGTAAAAAAAAATTGTTTTAATTTAAAAGAAATGCTGTACGATTGTGACTCGAAATTGATTGTGACTGAATATTGTGTTTACAAAAATGACGAAAAATGATGATATATGATAATGAAAAACTTTTTTTTTATCCTGGTTGTGGCCTGGGATTTGTAAACATCGTTTAAAGTGTTATCGATATTGAATTTCATTAATGATATTAGCGTAGCTCCGACTGAGTTTGCATGTGTCTGTTCTGTAATTGATGATGTGTTTTATCTCTGTTGATGTAAACTATTTCTAAAAAGTTACGTTTATGTTTGTTTTGTTCGGTGTGTAATACGAATGGAATTTATTAGCGGGAAAGGAATGGGTTGCTTAACCCCGCCCTAAGACAGGTCGAATGGTTTCTATGTTTGTCATGATGTACATATGTGTATTGTTTGTTGTATATATTTTCTGTAGTTGACAACCTGAGGTCTAACGGGAGGCTAACACTTCATAAAAGCGACTTAGTTTTCATATAAAAGCAAACCCTCAAATGGCCGCAACATGTGCATGAAAGACGGAAAAGAAGTATAAACATCTCAGCTGTTTGTGATCCACTAAACTTTCGACATGAATATTATTATTATCTGTGTGGTGTTTAGTGACCGTTACTTAATGATTATTTGGATAATTAAATAATTCTTATTATCTAAACTTATCTTGCTTTAAATAAACAAACATATATAAATGTGGTAACGTGCTACGAGGTTGTAGAGTCTAATAAGTGGTCAAGTTAATTTTATACAATTTTGTTTTGCGATAAAAATGTTATTAAAAAAATTCTTATTAGAAAAATTAGTATGTTTATGGCACAAAATATGCCGGAAACGTCGTCATATTTAAATGTTCATTCCCTTTTTACATCAATTTGCACACAAGTACATTTATGCTTATCTTTGTTTTATTGTAGGCTATAACTTTGATTGTTCGATGATTTTATCGATAGGGGTGACATTTAAACTTGGAAATAGTTCTACTTTTGATTAAACTCCATCATCTTATCGTTTTTTGTTTGTTTTTCCATTAATAGTACATTTTGTGAACTCGTTAGTTTGTTTTACATTACTACACTTGTAAACTACTGTACAGAATTATAAAAGACGTGAAGAGTATCCTTTTGCCTTTATGAAGATTTAGATAGATAGATCAGATCAATTTTTTAAGACATGGTATCGTAACAAAGAATGGTCATGTTTGCAAAATGAAATACAACAAACGTTAATTTTTATGTAAAAATATGAAATAGTGTAACGTACATGTACACTTAAATTTTCAATAAATGGAAAATGGTCTTAAGTCAGAATAATGTGATCACTTATATTAGTGCGTGTAGTAAAATTTGGGGAGACATAGTTGATGAAATCAAAGGTGATAAACTGAAACTTATGTAGAATTGAAAAGAACATGATCAAGAGGAGCCACGTACAACCAGATACAGTTGAAATCTTTTATATGAAACAATGAGAGGTCAGCTAACCGTGGAGTGAACGATGTTAATAACAGAGGAGTTCCAAAGTCCTACAGTAAAAACTACCCAAATTTGGAGTACAATTGTATTCGCAATTAAGAGCAACATCGGAGAAAGTCTCTGTAAAAACAATCGACAAGATTTTCTACAGGTTGACTTAATTCTTACTGTCCATTTAGGGAAATTCAACTGGGTTAGCCCGGGCAACATAGATCCGACTGAATGCCTGATGAGCAGTCACTCCAAGGGTGAAGCTCCAACGGCGAGTCAAATAATTTACTTTTTTTTTTTCCAATTTTGGATAATAAATCTGAATGCAATGATGACATGTTAATGCTGAGCACCAGTAAAGTTCCAAGGTCAACACTTACTTACAAAAAGAAATCAGGATTCAAGCTTTGGGAGGAACTCCAAACAATAATTAAAAAGGGAGAGGGTTGGCAGAAACTGATCCTGAAGTTATTGCTAGGAAAAGAAATAAATTGATTATGCAAAGAATACCAAGGTTATGAGACACACATAAAAGTTTATGATATCTCGTATTTGTCCATTTTTAGTGAGACAGCAGTTATTTTAAATTAAAAAATATTATCGTTGTTCTGTGTTTTTCTGCAATTTTCACTTTTTCTATACTAATTGATAAAATTGCATCAAAATTGCGCCATTTTGTACAATTGTGCCAGGTAAACCGTAGCTGTTTTACCGGAGTGAAATGAGGACGTGACGCCATTTTTTTAAACACAATTTTCAGTCACAATCAATTTGAAAAATTTGAAACGAAATTACCAATCCGCAGATTTACACTGATTCGACTCCCCGCTCGCTAGCTTCCATTTATTAATTAAATCATTGAATCATTGTGTTATCTACTTCTGCTTTATTCACTTAAAATAAAGTGGTACAAACGTCTTAGGTTTTTAATTAACTTTTAATATCTGCACACAATCGAAGCTTTGCTTAAAAAGCTTAAAAACTCAGAATAATTAAACATTGAGTAACACACTCATATTATTACATTTTATAATTCATTTCTCAAACAAAAAGCTTTAATTAACTGTTCACCTTCCCGCGTCGAGTTTATCAGAGATAATACAATTAGTATAAAAACCGAGGTGCGAAATGTGGTGTTCGAGTTTAGCAAAATGCAGCGAGTTGCTATGAGCGTCTCTATCGGCCTCTTCTTGGCCATCCTCCTCAACGTCCTCGCCCCGCAGCCGGCGTTGGCAGCCTCCTGTGGACACAACAAGAGTCACAACGCTTTCTTCGGTGAAAGGCTTCATAGTCATGTGTATGTCGATATTGTAAGCAGTACCAAACCCATTTCGTTAGTACTCACTTGTGTTTGTTCGTTTAACAGGCTATTATACGAGGAACATCCTAGGGTGAGTGGGAAATGGTTGAGAGTGGTCTCTTATACGGTGTCTTATCCGATTCCAGGCGACGTCCGAGGGACTATCCATTACATAGAGGCATTAGATCAGTTCACCGACGGTACAGGCGGCTGCGCTATGATCTCATCCGGCGGAATTGGAATGGGTCACGCCTCTCTAGAACTCGAGTCCCAGAGAGACAAAGGAATCGACTTCGTCATCAGGATTTTCGGTGATTCATATTGAACACATCAAATTGCTTTTTAGTTAACATAAATATTAAACAATTTAACCGAAGATCTTTTCCTTTAACTATCTCTAAATCTTTGTATATGGGCCAAATATACAATACCTTGACAACAGATGATCTTCATTCCGTGTTTTGTGTCGTTTAAATGAATTTCATAATAAATACTATGTACACAAGAAAATAAAACACTTCATTAATACTGTTATTATTTATATATTGAAAATATGGTCTATCCCAACACACTAATTTTGTCTTTTTTTGTGGATAGCCTTGTTTAGTCTTTTCTGTTTGATTTCGTGCCTTTCTCCGAATTGTTATAAAGAAAATTTCCTGAAACTTCCTTTTTTCCCTATTTTTGTTTCTATTATCCTATCTTCCGTTTGGTAGATAAAACATAAATAATCTCCCCCTTGTACCTATAAATGGATTTGGTAAATCAATCTTTGAACAATCAATCCCTTCTCTGTGGGGTTTTCCGTAAAGCCTTTTTCTAACTTTCAATTGATTAATCTTTATGTTAAGTATTGGTTGAAGTGAAAAAGTTCGTGTCACGAGCAAGATTCGAACCCACGACCTTCGGCTCAATACGCTGTAGCTTTAGCCACTTCGGTTATCTTGACTTCTTCCTAACGTTCGAACCGTGGACTAGCGCTCCAACAATTGCTGAAATCTAGCCGGGAATTCGGCCGAAAAAACACTTTCTCGTAACTTGTTCCTCACCGTTTCAGGAGTAACTGGTATACTATAGTCACGTGACAATTTCTCAGCAATTGTTGGAGAGCTGGTCCAAGGTTTGTCGTGGGAGTTTTTGAAATTTCATATTTGTGCAGCTGATTCATGTTTGGTGGCTGCCAGCTACGTGGTCTGCTGGGTAGACCACCTAATTCATTATATCTTTTTATAATTTTTGCAACCGTACCTGCATTTTTCTTAAGTCCTGCCATTGTCCCGTAAGGGCTTACCTTGGTTTCTTAAGGAAACAATAATTTCGCGAATGGGCATTGGTACTTCCATCATGATATCTAATCACAGACTGCAAAGGATTTCTAATCATATGACCTTCGTCCCCGTGCCTATTGCGAGTATAATCATTTGGTAGGTTTTTTTTTCCAATCTTTTTTTGAATTAAGGATATTTCTTTTGTTTATTACATTTTTAGTTAACTAATGTTGACATGCATTACTGTTATGTTTTGTCAAAATAAAAGTTTAATGTTTGTTGTATAAAATAAGAGTAGTTTCATTATGGGGAAATAACGTATTTTAAGGGGAGCATAAGTGCAAAACTTAATTAAGTGTTTCCAGACATTTTTTGCTCAGTGTATATAGAAAGCCCATAACTACGGACACCATGATACCAGCGGATTCTTCTCACCCCATGGACACAAAAACTGCTGGTTTCATTTGGCTCATAGACCATATGTTAAAACTTATACGAGGAACATCCTAGGGTGAGTGGGAACTGGTTGAGAGTGGTCACTTATCCGATTTCTTATCCGAATCCAGGCGACGTCCGAGGGACTATTGGTTACATCGAGGTATTAGATCAGTTCACCGACGGTGCAGACCATACTCAGAGCCCCATGCTCAAATCCGGCGAAATTGGAACGGATCACGTCTCTCTAGAACTCGAGTCCCAGAGGGGCTCAGGGTTGGATTTCGTCATCAGGATTTTCGGGAATAAAATATCAAGTTAAGTTGTTTTTTTAGTTATATATAAACCTTATACAATGTCACCGAAGATCCTTTAACTATCTCTAAACCTTTATATATATTGCCAAAATATACTATACATTGATAGCAGATGAACTTCACTTAATGCTTTGTATTGTTTAAACGAATTTGATAATGTATGCTATGTACACAAGAAAATGAAAAACTTTATTAATATTGTTATTTGTATATCAAAACATGTGTTGATGCCAACACGCTAAGTTTTTTTGGGGTTCGCCTTGTGTAGTTTTTTATTTTTTCTTGTCTTTCCACGATTTGTTATAACAGCAATTACCTGAAACTTCCTTTTTTCCATATTTTTTACTTCCTATTCTCCAATCTTTTGTTTGGTAAATAAATCAGATATAAACCTGCAACATTTGTTCGGTGGTGGTGTCATGGTTTGGGCAGGCATTTCTGCGGAACGTCGCACAAACTTCATCTTCATCTAGGGTGCTTTAATATTCAACTAATTATAATAATATGTATTATTGTACTATAAGCATAATTAAATAAAATAATAATAAAAATATAGGGGCGTCGGTGGCCGCAACGGTTTAGGCGTTGACACGACGCTCATCACCATCGTAAGATTAAGGTACCGGGTTCGAATCCTGGCTGATAAACAGATTGAGGTCCGTTTTGCTTGATGTCAGAACTGCAATATTAAGCAAAAGTGGTGTTAAGACAGAAGAAAATATTACATTGAAACGAAGTTTAGTAAAATTTTATGCCATCTCAAATTTGTTAATTTTTCAATCGTACAGCATTTCTTGTAAATTAAAACAATTTTTTTAAAACTTTTTGTGTAAAACTTTAGCGATATTTTTTCTTTCTGTTTGGGCCGTTTTCCATAAGTGGGTGATACAACCCATAGTTTTATACTGGCGTGAAATGAGGACGTGAAGTTATTTTTTGTAAGAATGTTTTTCAGACACAATCGATGTACAAATTTAAAACGCAATTACCAATCTATACATTTCTACTAATTTCCCTCCTTCCTGATACCTCACCTATGAAACTACTACAATCAATGTATGTCATACGGTTGTATTTATACTCTAAAAAAATTAGTACAAACATATTAGGCTGTGAAATAAAGGTTATTAAAAGATGCACATATCAGAAATTTTTGTGTGTTTAAACTCAAAATAGTTGAAGGGTTGATTGAGTTGACATACTCGATGAATAATTCATACAGCAAACAAAAAACTTTTCATTGATCGTGTACCTTCCCGGGCCAAGTTTCGTCATTAATTAGGCAATAAGTATAAAAACCGAGGTGTGGAGTTGTTCGACGGTAGGAAAATACGGCGTGTTGCTATGAGCGTTTCTTTCGGCCTTTTCTTGGCCATCCTTCTTAATATCTCCGCCCAGCAGTCAGCGTCGACCACCCGCCGCTGTAGAAAGAATGATAAACACGATGCTCTCTTCGCATCAAACATCACCGACCGAAAGTAAGTCCGACATTCTCAGCAATATAAAACTAATTTCGTATGTACTCATTTCCGTTTGTTCGTCCAACAGGGAACGGCTGTTGCGCTGGGAACACGTGACGGTGAATGGGGTAGAAAACAAATCGGCCACCTATCCGGTCATTTATCCTGAAAAAGAAGACCACCCAGCCACCCTAACTCACATCCAAGTGGATGATTACATGCCCGAAGGAAAAGGCGGCTGCGTCTTCCTCATATCCGGCGGAGTTCAGTCCGATAAAGTCACTCTACACTTAAGAATTCAGAAAGGCTCAGGGATGAACTTCACCGTCGTTATATTTGGTATACCCAAGAGAGCTCGTTCAAATAAACAGAAAAAAAGGCGTTCGGGCAGTTCATCTGTTTTTCTATGAATTAACCTTCGACGATTTCACTGAAAATCTTCGTTTTACTATCTACATCATATCTGGTTAAAATATACTATACCTTGACAGCAGATGGACTTCATGTAATGCTTTGTAATATGTAAGCCGTCCATAAAAGAATAAAACAGTTCGTTAATGTTGTTATTATTAATTTACGTTGAAAATGTGGCTAATCCCAACCCAGTCTCACAACAGTTTTACCGATTTTCATATTATTTGTACAAGGGGAAATGAAAATGTTGAAAAAATTGTTCAGTAATAAAGATTTCTTCATGAGGTAAGAAAAAACGGAAAATTGACGTACTTGAAATGTTAAACAGAAAACATTCCACAGGAAGAAACTTATTATGAAGATACAAATCAAAACACTAAACACTTTATTAAAATAGTACACATAAAACAGCACAATGACCTGAACAGACTAAACCTTCCAAAAAAAAAAAAAAAAAAAAAAAACTTGAAAATAGACAAAAAGCATCGCTGAAGATGGTGGCATATGCAACAAAACAGTCCCAAAAGATGACCAAACGGCTTTACAAGTAAGAAATAAGTATGTAGTAAGTTTGATGAACATATTTTCANTAAAGAAAATGTTTTTCTGAAACCTACATCACACCCGACCGCATCTCACGATATCTGAATAACTATCGATTATCGGTCACTAATCTCTACACATAAAAAATAAAAAACTGTGTACTAAGAAACTCGAAAGTGTAGGTCATGCACACGATAAATATACACAATTTTGTTACTAAATGTAATATTCATGTATCTCTGCATAATGTAAAATGTTTTTCTAAAACCAACGTCACACCAGACCGCATCTCGCTATCTACATATAATCATAAATTGTGATGTTTGGAACCTGCTAATGCTTCCACAATGGTCAAAACAAACAAGAAATTAATATTTTATTTCTCAACAATAACTTTTAGCCCAACTGTAACCAACTGACTTGAGTAATTTCGCATGAATTTGTTTCAAGCCTATTTAGGAATGTGTCCATCCAGTTCGAGTGCAGTTTATTAGAAGAAGCAGTCTTTCCTCTACGTTACCTTTATATTCTGTTGGTAACAGATGCATTACATTGAAAATTCCCTTTGAGCTACTCGAGGAGATGAATTTGCTTTTATGAAAATACTTTTGTTTTTTATTGTTACTTTTACATTGGCTATTTGAGATAATTCGTTTGCTTATCATGGCCAAATAAGATTTGATTTGGAATTTGTTGGTATCCCCAGTTATGTATTTCTGCTCTGTAACTCCTTAATTATATCCGTGATGCTACCCAACTTTTTCTCGATACACTTATCTTTCTCCATTGTTAATTTGGATTTGAAAAAAAGAAGCAAAGTGCCCATTTTCTTTTGTAACCTAGACAACACCATGTTTATAACTCCAACGCACCAAAAACATCACGGAAGACGTAAACAACTGAAGGAACAAATGGAAAAAAATGGACGAAAAACTGTTCTCTGGCTAGAGACGTTCATTCTTCGGATCCGGATTCAGGCAAACATAAACATAGCATGAAATGAACTCTAAAGGTCTGGGAAATTGCAATGAAATCTACAATGGAATATAAAATTTTTAAGATTTCCTCTATTGGTCTGCGGAATGACGAACTTGTAAGTTGGCTGTTTCCAAACATCTTGGTCAGCCTACTTTTGGCTGGTTTGTTTACATGCTTCATCTAGTTTATATTCTTGATGACAGGCAAGGAAGGTGGAGAAATTCTGAAACGCCAAGACAGCGGTGACGAACAGACGAACAAAATCGCACGACCAAACTAATATTATTATGTTTTAGTTGTTTTTGATAAATTTGGTTTCTGACACGCGCTTCGGGTTCTTATTGGTAGATTTTACTATCGAATAGAACAACTCGACCAAAAAAACCAGTAGGAGAAAACACTGAAAAATCTTCAGTGAAAATGGTGAGAAGCCGAAACATACCTTATAGACCAAAATAGTGAGGACATACCATAATCACTCAACAATCTACCTATACATATGCAGGCTCGTTGAAAACAATTTTCTGTTATTTAAAGCAAAACTGTGAATTTTTAATTGCAAGTATATTTTAAAAATTGATCAAGAATACGTAATGTCATGGAAAGATGTAATAATATAATTTTTCGTTTGATAAAGGACAAGTGAAATGCTGAAGAAAGAAGCCTTTGGATCAGAACAGATGAATAACTTTAAGTCTTACCACATTTTTTTTGGAACCTGTTTCCAAAATAATAAAAAAAACTAAAAATCCACTTAGTAAAATATTTGACAAAACTATTGATGTACAAAAATAGAGAAAGACGAAATAATGAAAGCGTTATAATAATCAGAAATGATGTACAAATGTAATAAAATATCTTAAAGTATACTTAGAAGAGCCTTAGCTCCCTGGCACGTACGGTGGTCTGATCAAGTCCGAGACTTGGCCAATGTTTAAGTACAAGGCCAGAAGAAAAAGAAAAAATGATTGTAAAATTTTAAACGCTTCTGGCGTCAACCATCAGGACGATGTGGGCATAAAGGATCAAAAACTACAAAACTGCATATTCATTACCCCGCTGGCTTCACGAGGAAATCTCCGATATCTTTACAGAGTATAATGTTTGTTCAATTTTCTTAATTTGCGGAAGTAAAGAGAAAAGTTTAAAATCGCGAAAGTTGTGACAAGTACAGCAATAAGGAGTAGCAGGTAATCATTCGACAAAGAGGTGTAATTTCAGACGGTTGTTGTAACAGGAGGGACAATAAACGAGGAAGTGACGGATGGTTTGATGTAACCTGTGGCTGAGAGGATTCCCCTAATAATAAAGGGGAAGAAGAACGAGGGCGAGCATTATAAAGACAGAGCGGATCTAAGTGGCAGCTGAGCCGATTAAGGCAACTCCTTGAAAGCCGGCCTCCTCCTGTTTACAACCACCCCCGTCCTTCTTGATTCCACCCTTACTTCATTCCACCCCTACCTGGTCTATTATCAGCCTCTCCGGGACATCTGCTGGATTAGCAGATTTTTTTTGACCGGACAAAAGGCCTGACCAAAAATGTCAAAACGGCGCTTTTAAAAGCCATCACGCCCCGGGATAAGATTTACGGCCATTTCTAAGTCTATTTATCGGGGGAAAAAACATCTTTTAAACCGTTCTTTTCCTTTTACACTTTATACTTTTAGATGTTTTTGTGGATACGGCAACATTTTTTCTTATTGTTAAACCTTAACAAAGCCTTATTCCTCAACGGAAGAGGGAGTACATTCATGATTTGAAGTAGGATCTTTCTGACGAAGACTCAAGACATGTGAGGCAATAACAGGTCTTTCACTCAATGAGCCAAGTTGCGCAGTGGCAAATGGTATTTTAATAATCAATGATCATTTGGAGGTCATGAGATGCGGTCTGGTGTGACGTAGGTTTTAGAAAAACATTTTCTTTATCATGCCAACGTTTCGATCATTATTGAAATCATCTTCAGAGCTTGGGATTTATAAACATTGTTCGAATTATATAAATGCATGTAGGATGTGAAAAAAATGAATTTATGCAATAATGGGGATGTAATACCTATGTAAGTTGCGGGACAATTTAAATAATTGATTTTGTAAATTAAGTCAAATTTATTTGTTACTGGTGTGGGATCTTTAATTTTGGAAAAAATGTGTATAGTTTTTGAAAAAACATTCTCAACACGACAGACAAGAATGACACATCTATACGGAAAACAAACACAGTGAGTACAACAAATACTTTGTTTAAATTCATTTTTTTTATCTAAAGTTTTGTAGCATTGCATAAATTCATTTTTTTTAATCTAAAATTTTCTAGCATTGTATAAATTCATTTTTTCCCACATCCTACATATATTTCTAAAATTTAAACAAGGTCTCTGACGATGATCTCAATAAAGATCGAATCGTTGGCACGATAAAGAAAATGTTTTTCTAAAATCTACGTCACACCAGACCGCATCTCACGACTTCAGAATAATCATCAAGTAACGGTCACTAAACACCATGCATTTGTCGTAAAGTAACCGATAAAGATTTTCACTATTAGTTAATCTTCCTGCTGTCATAAAGGCACGAAAATCATTTATAAATTCACTTCTTGCATGAAAAACCCGGTATCACAGCATAAGTGAGACCTGATACGTCCATTCTTGCTTTCCGGTCAGACGGGTTTAGCATTTCCAAAGGAGGCGGACCAGTATGGCTTAAAAAAACCGGAAGGATTTCAGGATTTCGCAATTCGCTTCCAGAAGAAGTACGTGATACGTTTAATACGACCAAAGATGACGATTAATCAAAAAACAGAAAAAAAAAGTTTATCACCCCACGATCTCATAATTAGTTGTGTTCGGTGATTAACACACTTTTTTTTATTAAAAATTCAAAAGCATATGCGATTCTGCAATACGAATCTGTCGTATTTTATAGCGTCTTTTGGAATCTGTCAGTAACGATGGCTCTAAAGAAGCCTACATTAGGATTAGTTTGAATTCGATGGTATTCTGGACGTAAAGTTCAAGACTAGACTACAAAGCACAAGTTATTAAGTAAGTAATTTTCAGATGCTAGAGATCCACCTAAAAAATGTAGGAGCAGTCGTAAGATTTTCACATTTTAAATTCACCTCAATTTGTATTAGCACCAAAAAAAGTGAGGAGGAGAGATGAATTGTCCTACCTCATTCAAAATTCTGTTTTTTTTTTTTTTGTATTTTGTGTATTTTCTTATTATATAATACATCGTGACTAGAGTATATCGATACTTCATGGTACCTTTGCCACTATTCTTTTCAACAGTAACTATGAGTACATTGTTACTTATCTTTCGACTTCTAATCATATTGACGACAAACTGATACCACCAAACCACCTTATCCAGTCGGCTCACTAAATCCTGTATTTTGTGTATTTTCCTACTTTATATTACAACCTGACTAGAGCGTATCGACATTTCACGGTGACTACGCAACTCTTTTTTTAACACTAGCTATGATTACAATGTTACTTATCTTTCGACTTCTAATCATATTGACCACAAACTTTATACCACCAAACCACCTTATCCTGTAAGTGATCGAGGAGCAAATACACAGTCGGAACGCCTGAGTACAAAATGTTTCATTTGCTTTTACCGGTCTGTAGGGTGGTGCTCTAGTTTGCTCATGCTCGAAACGGCAATACTAAGCAACATGATTATAAACAACCAAGGTTCCATTTGCAAATAGTTGTTACTCTGAGAGAGAAGATCTTACGTACACAATGTTTTACTTTCCTTTCACATTGATGTACTCTTATGACTAGAGGGGGTATCAAATTACACAAACCCGGCCAAGGTTTGGGTTAGGGTAAAATATTGCTTTAAATCGGTATCGAACCCCTCTTCCCACTTCTGAACATGGGGATCTGCGAGATTACCGAGTGAGCCTTAGTTCGGTCATGAGGGAGAGGGTGGAGTATGATTCAAATCGGAGGCTGCAGCCAGATAAGGGTATGGCGGTATTGATCATGGCCGTCTGTCTGCATGACTCATATGACTCCCTATTATTCCACCCCTAGACCGAGACTAGGCCGGCCATTATTTGGAGGGCGTGCGGGGTTTCAGTCTTACCTTTTGGTGGCGAGGGGATCGGCGCGGCAGCCGGCGGGGGCGGCAGCTTGCAAAGATCGAGAGGCGGCCTCCGCAGGTAGTCGGCCGTCGTCCAGTAGCTGCTCAAATAAGCTGCGTCCAGCCAGTGGGGGGGAAGCAGTGAAAAACCGCCGAAACCAACAGCTCCTTGGGTACCTCCCATATAATGAAAATCTGTAACAAAAGCACGATAAATTAATATATTAAAATGTAATTAATCATATTAAATATAGGCGAGTAATGATAAATTGATCATGCCAAGGTTCTACGAACTCCAACGTTCTGGTTTATTAAATTCACGAGTTTTCGTGGTCCGATTGACCAAATAATATCTTTCAATTAACTAATCATTATGTACGGTTTTGGTTGAGATAAAAAAAGTCAGTGTTACGAGCGGGATTCGAACCCACGACCTTCGCTAAATATGCCGCTGGTTTACCGCTTGAACTATCGTGACTCCCATCCACTCGGACACCAACTTCTCATCTCAACCCAACCTTTTGAATTTTCCCTCCTTTTTGCCATTTTTCAAATGTCGTGTAATTTATTTGATTCTATCAACCAATACCTTACATAATAATAAATTGAAAGTTCTGGTTTATGTTAGCAACAATGGTTACATATTTTATAACCATTTAATTAAGATTAGGTTTAATTATTAGTTATTATAAAACTGTAATAAAATTTTATTTACAAGTCGAAGTAAATTGCAGTATGTGCAATAGTATGTTGCACCAATTGCAGTTTAATGTTCATCTTTTTTAGACTAAGGGTTGGAACAAAATAACCTACAATACAAACATTGAAAAACATATTTTATTGTTGTCACGGTCAAAACAGCCTAACATAATTTGGAATAAAATTTCTGAAAGTCTTTTTCTTATGCGTTTGATATTTAACACATACAGATAATTAAAAAAAAAACACAATGATTTCCGTAAGGGTGACAATGAAAAAAGCTCCCTGCGTGGGAGGATTGAGCAACGTCGAATTCGGTGATTCACAAGATTAAGGATTAGCCAGGAGCAGCTGTTGGTAATTCAGCGGTGGTATTAGAGGCCACGTCCTCTCCTCCTCGATTCCCTTTTGTGCTGCAAATCTGCAGACAAAAGCACCCCTCGTTCACAAAAGGGGCAACCGTCCTCTCCCTTTACCAAGCACCCCGATCCCTTTTGACGACTCCCCTTTTATTACTTTATTTAGGTTTGTGGGACTCACGAGGTTTGTATTTAGGGTTTTTTCTTGAAAGCTCGTCCATTTTACTTGAGATCATCGAAAGCAGGATGTACAAAATAACGTCGTTCAAGAATAAGACTATAACAAAAATAAAACAGTAGAAGAAATGTGAAGAAATAAAATTTGCCCCTCCCATTACGACTATTATCGTTTAGTTCAACCCCCTCAGTGCTTATGCAGCTGCATAAACGTGTAAATCATAATCGTAACAATGTACATGTTTTGCCGATTTCACAAGCATGTACATATCTGAATGTGAATCGATTTATCATATTAAAATAGAAGAGAATAAGTTTATTACCATTAAATTACCAAGTGTTTACATAGGAGTTTCAGCTTCCGCCATGACCTCATGATTAGTATATGATATTTGACAACTTAAATTAAGGGAAATTACTCTTTATTTCTCGATTCTGGCTTTCTAACTTAAAATATATTATTTACCCCTACTAAACCTGTAGTGACCGTTCACGGCATAGTCCCCTATGACCTTGCAGAATACATCATCGCTAATATAACACAGGGAAAAACTTTTCAAACCTTCTTCACTATCCAATCCTCGGCATATCGGTGGAAATGTGAAGGATGCAGGTGTATTACCATTAATTGTATATAGCAAGTGTTTACAAGGGATTTTCTGCTTATGCTAATACCTCCTGACTGGTATATATGCTTCTTGTTTCAGAATTCTAGCGTAATAACAAAATACACTGATGGCCAAACACACCACCCTTTAATTTTAATGTATTTAGTTTTATTAATATTTTGGATACGAAAAAGTGGTTTGGTTTTTCACCTGTGGCATGGAATCATGTGTTAAAATTCTTTGCATTCCTTGGAAAAGATTTCTGATAAAATCCTAAGGAATTATTTCCCATTCATCAAGAATAGCTGTTTCTAACTCTTTTAGGGTGTTACGACTTCGTTTTCGCCGTTGTACTCGTTGCTTAAGTTGGTACAAAATGTGTTCGATTAGGATCAAACTTGGGTCGAGGTGGTCATATCAAGCACTCAATTCTAACTGCATTCAGGTAATCAAAATACGTGCTGTATGGGACTTGGTTCTGGAATCCTCACCGATGTGGGGGTAACTGATACTAAAGTCCTTCGATTGTGACTTGCACTTCCACTCTGTGAAATTAGAGACCTTCTTCGCATAACACCAATTCGGTACGGGCGTCCAAGGAAATGCCAGCCCAGAACATCCATGATCCACTATGGAATGCCTGCTGAGGAACAATACAACATGGGGTATACCTTTTTCCAGAATCTCCATGTGAAATTACGCCCATCTTAAGAAATGATGCCACTTCTCCCTCATCTATAAAGAGAACTGGTCCCCAATCTTCCAATGACCAGTTAACATGCTCCCGTGCGAATTGAAGCCTTGAAGGTCTTCTGGCGGCCGAGATGGGGTTTGGAGAACAAACGGCGAGCAGGGGCAGCCAACCTCATTCAGGTAGTCATACACAATACGTGTTCTTTGAGGCCTGGCACAATCCTGCACTAGCAAGTATCTCACTGATGTGGGGGGTAACTGGTACTACATGTTCTTCGATTATGTCTTGCAAGTACCTCTATGAAGTTAGACAACGTCCTTGCCCAACAACCAATTCGGTGCGGGCGTCCAAGGAAATGCCACCCCAAAACATAAATGACACTCATGCAGCATATAGGGCAGCATGGGGCGTACTGTTCTCCTGAGCGTCTCCTTATGAAATTACACCCATCTGAAGATTTGAGGCAACTCGCACCTCATCTGTGAAGAGAACGCGTTACCAATCTTTCAATGCCTGTAATGCTCCCGTGCGAATTGAAGCCTGAAAATTTTCTGACCTTTTGTAAGAAGAGGTCCACTAGCTGGTTGCCGTGCCCTAAGGTTATATTCATTCTTACAGTCCTGGAGGAAATCGAAATATTTCGGATTTGTACTATCAAATTTCTTAACTATTTCCTGTAATGGTGCGGTTTCGTAGAGCCTGATGATGGATGAACCTATCGTCTCTCTGATTTGCAGACCTATGTCGACCCTTGTAGTGTGAATCCCTGTTACTTTGAAGCGCCGAAGAAACTTTCTTATTGTAGAGTGATTTACACTCAGCCCCTGGCAACTTCGCGCTGTATCACTCTTCTAATAATGTTACGACCCTGACAAGGTCATACTCACTCAAATTTCAAAATCAAAAAAGGGATTTTTAGGCGTAACAGAATGAAAGGGCGTAATGCTGCGTTTTGTGCAAATGGGATTAATCAAAACAAGGAAATAACGGAAGTAAACAAAGCATTATTTATTGTTTATTTTGACTATGATAGCTCCTAATTGTAAACTTGCACTAGTGTAGAAAGATAATTTTAAAGTAGATTTAATTTTAAACTAAATAAATTGAGTGGTGCGTCATCAGTGCATATATTTAACTTTTCTAGGCCTGTAGTGATCGTACATTTCATAGTCCTGTATGACCCTGCAGAGTACATCAACGCTATCTTAACGCAGAGAAAAACTGCCTAATTATTCTTCATTATCCGAAACTTAAGCATCGTCTGAAATCTGAAGATCGGATATCGTAGTTTAACGTAGGTAGAAGGTAGATAGAAGGACTTTTTCTGCATAATCTGCAGGCGATATTGGACATGGTAGTGGAACTCAATGATGGACATACGTATAGAAATTTTAATTGCTTAATTTACCATTTTAACATCACTGTAGTGTAACGTGGAGGACTTATAACTGGTTATAAACGGAAACTTTATATTTTATTGCCAAAGTGTTTTCACATTAAGCCAATTAAGCCCTCCAATATTATTTTGACAGGGGGGAGAGAAGAGTACGTGAGGAGTGAAAGCGGGAGGGGTCGGGGTTTGTTTTCAACGTGAAGCGTTATTTGTCGTCGCCGCTGAAAATGCACCAACTGTACACAGGGTAGCAAAGTAATTTCGCCCGATTCCATAAACACGCGGAGATTTTCCCAATCGCCAAATGCCCATCCGGTTTGAAACAAATTGGAACAAATATTTAGGTTTTGAGTTTGGCCCCCGTCCCCGGCCGCGGTGGAAAAGGGGATTCCTGAGTTTTTCCAAACCGGGGTCCGACTCGGTTACAAAGGAAAATCACTCATGTAGAATGCAAATGAGCCGTATGAAACGTACCGGCCGCGCCTTATTTGAATACCGGACATTTTATTGCTTTCGTAATAACTTTTGTAATGATTCTGCGGTCCTCCTCCACAAAACAAGTCCTCCCTTAAAAACCTCACATTTACAGAACAGACCTGATTTACTTTATAACATCTTACGTGTCAAAACTCAATGTTTAACTGTTAAAGAAACTGCCAAACAGACTTTTTCCAACACGATTCAATATAACACGCGTTCTTTAATTTTTTTAAATTTTTTTTTTAAATTACAATCTGTAATTATTATTTAGCGGATACATGAACTTATGTACAATTATTTACAATGAGGGGAGAAAATAATCAATGTTGTCCTCCCTCTTCACTTTGTTTATGTTTTTTTTACAGTTTACTCGGAAAGGAGGTCGCGGGGCAATTTCCTCTTAAGACGCCTTATGGGGTTGTAGGGATGGGTTCTATCGGACAGACCTTGGGCAAGACTATTTGGATAGTGGGAGAGTTTTTTGTGAAATTTGGTAAATTTTTGGGGAATAAATTTTTGGATATAAGGAATTTGAAGGTCGTTGTTGAGAGTAGCATTTGAGACATAATAAGGAGCATTTACAATGGATCTGAGGACTTTAGATTGAAAGGATTGGAGACGTTGGATATTGGAAGGTTTAGTGGTTCCTCACAGTTCCAAATCGGTTGTATTAGTGTTTTGTAAATTGTAAGTTTGTTTTTTGTCGATAGTTTAGACTGTCGTCCTATAAGTTTGTACAGTAGACCATACCGTCGGTTTAGGTTTTGTCGAGTCGTGTATGTTGA